GATCAGCAACCGAAAACCCGAATCAAACTTTCACTGTATATTTTGGATTTATTTTCCACAACAGCTGATCGAGGGTGGAGAACGCTCCTTGATAAAACGAAACATAACACAGCTGTGCCGTATCACACGAACACACACAACACTCGCAAAGTACACAAGGGAGGATGTTGTTAAATGTGTTTTGTTCAAAGACTCGAAGACCATCTGAGGCTGTGTGTCAGCCTCCTCCCCCCGAAGGTTTAATTTACACTCTATCCTTCTATCAGTCTCTCTTTCTGTCTCCTTCTAGAAGTGCTGTTGGAGATCCACAGATGTTTATTACACTCAAGTATTTATTTTGAATACGGTGCATGTGCATGAAGGAAAGTACATTTTTGGATTGATAGCAGAGAAGCTCAATCTGCGATCCCCAATCTGTGGGTTGGAATATTTGTAAAGCACATTTTTTGCTTGTGATTTTCCTTAGAATAACATTCCCTTTTACGATTCATGGCCAGATCAGAGCCATTCATTTCCTCCCCCCGTGACACTCCCTTCTTGATAATCGGTACTTTCCTCCACTCCCCTTCGTAGAAGAGATACATGCCGAAGAGAAAAATATCACTCGCGGCTCTTTACAAGGAAACATTTGCGACTGGGTGAAATATTTGCGGTTTCCCTTTGGTTATTTCCTGTGAAAAATAATTTCAGATAAAGAAAAAGCTTCTTAAATAGTTCACAGTGGAATTCCATGTTCACACTACTTCTATTGGTTGATTTTTGTTTTAGCTTTAGTGTTTAAATTATTTTCTCATTCTCATACAATGTACTTTTTGCCATTTCACGCCTTCACGCAATTCTTCTCCCCTCCCAGCTGCTGCGCATCACCTGTTTCCACTTTCAGGTCACTTCAGTCGTACTGTAGAGCTTATTGCTCTCTAAGCCACAAAGCCGTGAGTTTCTGCTGAGAATAAATAAATAACTCAACGCTCCGACACTTGACAATCAGTAACAAACGTAAAATGTAAATAAACTGGAGACCAAGACGGAACCCATTGAAAGCTGTTCCCACTTTCTACATCTCTAGTTGTGTGTTTGTGCTACGGTCGCTGCGTAATGGGCCCTTTTTGTTTGGTGTTTACGTTTGGCGGCATGGCTTGGGGAATTTTCAAAAGCGTGTGTGTGTGTGTGTGTGTGTGTTTATGTATTTTGAAAATGCATTTAATTGTGCTGAGGGTTTATTGTTTAGACTGCGTAGCTGCGATGTTTGAAACTGACCGTTTGCCTCCTGAGGAATAGTCTGTTGCTGTTTTCTTTGGTTCACAGTGTGTGCGCACTGGAGGAGGAGAGGTCGCACAATGGAGCGGCTACAGAGAGAAAGTATTTTTTCTACGGAGGAGATGAACCCGTGTTTGTTGAAAAGTTACAAACCTTACGAGCGTCGTTTTATGGGAAGTGGCTGAACAAAATAAGCAAATATTTGTACTTGAATATCTTACTTGAGTGATAATGCCGTTATCATTTCTATGAACGAGATAATCCTCCACTTCATATTCCTGTGATGCTGTGTTAATGTTTGTCATTGTGTAAAGCAGACAATACACTGGTGTCTTCACATGCAACATGGCTGTCTCTACCAGCATCATCGTGGCATTTTAAATAATGCTACAACATTATCCATGTGAATCGTCCCACCTACTCTCCTGTCTTTGACATGATGAAAGAGAGTTTGCTCTGGAATCCTTCAATTCCCTTTATGTCTTATTGGTACAGGAAGCATATTTTACAATGATTATAATGTTCAATTAATAAAACTGGCCGTATATGACACTTCTAACGTAGAGTAAATTATCACATCCAAGTTTTAAAGTTAAAACGACACAAACGAAAGATGATCATCTGAAATATAATAAATTAAAATGTAAATAATCAAAACGAAAGACGCAGCTCAAAACTGTTTAGAACCATTGCTACACTTTTACTAGGCTTCAGAGGGATCAGTACTAGAACCAATAATGAAACAGTTTCATAACCATTTAGAGAAAACGAATGAACGTTGTGCTTTCTGTAACTTACAGTTGAATCCACAAACTGTGGAGACGAGCCGTAGTCGTGACGCGATTTAAAAAGCCCCCATCCCAACACGCCCATGTGTCCTGCATGACTAAGACCCTTTATATACTTAAAGTAACCAGTAAAACACATACAGTATATTCACCTGTTTTATATTGATCAACATCCACGCTTTCTCTGCACTTTTAGTTTTCTGGGAATACTCAAAGTCCTTCCATGCTTGTTGACATGTCCTGTTGAGATGTAATTAATGATCATTATCCTTAATCATTGATAAGTAAGAACAATTGATAATTACCTCTGCTCCAGTTGTAGTTAGAGCTCAAGCAGGCTGGTGGCAGCTCGTGCAATCAAGATAACTTTCACGAATGCGTGTGTGTCCCACATTGAGTAGATGCTCCCTGGGTGACCAAGCCTGGCCGACTGCCCTCTCGCTGGAGATCTTCACGATTGCTGCTAGAAATTACTCACAGATTGCACTGCGTTCTGTATCTCAACATGCACTATGTGTGTGAATGCGCACAAGTCTCTCTCCCACATGAATACCACGAGCACGTGAGAAAAGCTGCTTCCTTCTCCAAACAATTGAGGACTGCAGACCGACTAATGGAAAATTAATGCCTGGGTTTATAACAGTTTCTGCACTCTAACCTCGTTGGATTTCAGAGTGTTTCAACCTACTGGAGACTAACTTTACCCTCAATGTTTTGCCAACTGCCAAGTGGTTTAACGAAACGTTAAGGAGTAGACAGAGGATGAGGACCGAACACTGTGATGTGATGTATTGGCCACTTACATACCCCAAACACATAATGTAGAATGAAAGTGTTTGCAATTCACGAGGGTCAATCCCTTAAAATAAGAGAAGGTTTTACACCCATGTAAAGACCATAAGCACAGATAACACATTCTCCCTCCTGCTCTTTTAGCAGTACCACGCTAATTGTGGAGGAGAATAATCAGCACCATCCAAGACTGTATATTCTTATTAAAAACTGAACTGAGATACTGCTGATCTCACATTTCCGCAGCTTCCCACCTCATCCAGAGTGAACGGTTGATCCTTCTTAATGGAGGATCAACTGGATAACAACATTGTGAAAATGACTGGGGATTATGGGGCTATTCTTTCATGTGCTTTATCTTGTCTTGCATTGCCAAATCCCCTTTGTTCACTCGCACTCTATATATCAAGGCAGAGGGATAAAGAAACACAAAGTAAGCTACCACTGTGTAAGCAGTGGGAAGAAACCCATATCATATATGTGCAAACCAACACAAGATACACAATTATGTAGGCTGATATATGTTAATAAATTATGCAACGTCAGCAGTTTGAATCTGACAAGACAGCGTTGTCGGCCACGCGTCGCTCTGCCCCATTTCATGTTATCCATGCATTCATTGATAAATAAGTACACAATATGACCAGGGATGTGATTAAACGGTTAAAAGGGCATTTTGAATTAAAGTTCTAAGGCCTACAACTATGTGTCTGACGCTTGTGAACTGTGTTCCTGTTTGTCATGCTAAAACAATACGCCCCTTGGCCCCGATCCCAGGATGAAAATTGACACATTTTTGAAGTTGTTTGTGTGGAAAATTGTTACTCATGATGATGAATGGTATGGGGTAACCACACACACAAAACCACACACATATACACACACACCGGCACACACATACCTACACAGACACACATAATACTTAGAAATGATGGGATAGGCCGTATTTGGTGCTTTACACAATGCTACACACAGTGGTTTTACGTGTGTGCGTGTGTGTGTGTGTGTGTGTGTGTGTTGTGGAGGTGGGAGTTGTCCTGAGGAAGGGCACACCCAGAAACCGAACCTCCCAACAGGCAGGGAGGACAACTGTGTTAACCTTTAACCTGATCCTCTTAGGTAACTGGGACCCAGTCCCATCTGTTGAGGATACACACCCAAGAGCACTGGGTTAATCTCTGCCCAAGTGCAACAACAAGGTTATCCCATCCTACTTCATGAGTGACAATGAAACTCTCTGTTCTGAATCCAACATTACAGCTCACATCTTACACGGCGGTGACCTCTGTGTGTACTTGGCTCTGACCCTCCCATGACTTCTGCTGCGAGAGACAAAAAGAAGTTTGGATTTGGACTCACTCACGTCTGTGTGTACATTTCTGAGAGTGCAAAAAAGAATCAATGTTTACTTGAAAATCATCTGGGGGTTTGGGACCAGACGCTCCAGCCCAAGACACGTGGCCAAGGCGTCCCACCCAGCAGGGTCTGCCAAAGCCAAAGTACAGCTGCTCAAACCTCTCACCAGCACAACCCAGAGCAACGAGGCCAAGTTCAGAAAGATGATCTGCATCGGCTTTGACTGGACATGCGTGCTGACATGTTCAAACACAATTATCAGATTATCTTCGTAGCGTGACACACATTTTCATGATCACATCCATCTGAGTCACGACTCAAATAAGTTACAGTTTCGACATGGTAATAATACCATTCAAATCGATGAGCTCATCTTAAGATATCCATCAAAAAGATCTTTAGCCTGTAATTAATGGCTTTGCAATTATTTTTCCATCACTTACATGGTTTTGGGTTGCCAGTCTGTGGAAATCCCTCAAACATGAACTTAAAAGTCACTCAACGGAGAAGGGCTGCAGAGGATGTGCACCACAACATTCGGAGAAATCGTTGTTGTAGCACTTTAACAAATGCTTTTCCATAATTTACTGTGCTCTCGCAGCTATGTGCATTTCCAGAAGAAGACGCCATGCGATAGTACTTTTGATCTCGTTTCTAAAATGTCACAATAGTCCTCCTGTTAGCGGAGCAGATGCTGAGGGCCCCTCCCCGCCTCACCCCCCCCCTTCCCGCAGCAGCAGCAGCAGCATAATTGGGAGTTTATACCGTCTCTCTTTCCGGGGTCGAACCACCACGGAGTAACCAGCCGCCCGACACACGCACACGCACCGAGTGCAAGAGTTCAACAGCGTTAGTGTACGTTTGACTTCAATAATAAGGGAGTGGAAATATTCTTCTTCTTTTTTTTTCATTTGGGAGGGGGGGGAGTTGGGAGTGTCATTTCATTCAGCCACTTCTCTTCTGCTCGGGACGAAAGTCGCGCTGCCGGTGTGTTTACTTTTGGCCACGTTGCGCATCGCGACGGGCAATTACCGCGAGTGACGCCGCTGTTCACGGGATGCGTGCACGCGCTGCAGGTGAGACGCGGATTCCACTGCGCAGGTGAGGCGCGCCACGTAAAATTCGCAAATGCCGCGTTGTCTTTGCCACCTTTTTTGCATTTTACTAACTTGCAAGCTTGAATAACGGGATGATATCCGTGTTTTTGAACACACTCGGATACAGTCGGTGCCTGTTTGTATTCTGTTGTAGATACTTTACCCTCTAGGTGTACACGTCTTGCTTGACTGTGGATACCATCTTTTGATACTTGATATTTTCTCAAATTCTTCTAATTTTAACATTATACTAAATGTTCTAAATGAAACTCCTCATAACCAGGGTTTTATGTTGATGGATTAAAAAAAAAGAGCATTGTGTCAATTAACTTTTCACATAATACAAGTGAATTTGTTATCATTTCACAATCGTATAAAGATTGTTGTATCAATCTTTAAGGAAAACATCATTTGACTCGTAAATGTCTTACTGAACTGTGTAACTAAATGCACCCCAGTATTTTTGGACAATCCAATAACTCGGAAGGTGCATTAATTAGTGAACATTCTTGCTCTACTTCCGAAGCTCAGCTCACCACCACGTGTGTATTTTGTGGTTTTCTTTGCATTGTACAGTATGATTGAAACGGAGTGCTGTGGCTTTAGTGGTGTTCATTTGATCTTTCTCCTACCTGTATCTATAACTTCTCAAGGACCCGCTCTCCACACGCCTGTAAATATTTATCTAACTCCCTACAAGGTGCTTTGGGTCAGCGGGTGTTGTGAGTGAGGCAACTAAACTACTGAGAAGGGGGCAGAGAGAGGGGAGTTGGGTGGATATCGATTTCAGGGCTTTCAATCAAAATGACTGACGGAAATAAATGATTTCTGCTTCAGGCCACAGAAAGTGAATTCAGAAAATCTTATCGTATTTTCTGATTTTCGTCTTTAAACACATTGTCCAATCTGTACGTCATGCAGTCTTCTGCATACACACCAGTTTTTGCAGATGGGGCAAGCTAAGAGCTGCTGCTGGAATCACAACCTGGTAATGTATGCTTGTGCTCTTTGCAGACTTTTGAAAAGTGACAAAAGACTCTGAAACGGGGGACCGATTTAATCCCTCTGAGATCCCTGATATCGTTGGGACTGCGCTTCGTAAGTCATAACGTGAGCCTGGTTGAAGGGTTTCGGTGGCGTATGTGGTTTCCTTTGTTCATTGTATCACTTTAAACCCACGCTGCGCTGTGCTAACCCCCGAGCCTCCTATTTGCTTAAGTTCACTCCTGTTCCGTTCTGCTTGTAATGGTCCGATCCAACCTTAACCTTTTCAATCACAGCAGCCGCATTCAGCTGTGTTTTCAATGGCTTTACAGCACCATTCCTGCGCTCTGTGACAATATCATGCCATTCCGGCTGGGGCTTTTTCCTGGACAGTGATGAAAAGTGAAAATGGAAAAAAAAAAAAAAAAGATTTTCTCAAAACTCAACAGGTTTTGTGTGGAAAGCTTCTTTTTTTTTTTAAAACATACTTGCAGTGCTGCACACTAGCGCTGCCTTGTATGGTCACGTTTGAAGAATCCTTCTGCGCACACAGAGAGACGAGGCAGTTGAGGCACCTTTACTGCAGTGGCGACGTTGGAGAATCCACAGCGGATAGGTGCGAATGACTAATGGACAGACAGCCCGGCTGCATTTGTCCGCCCTGCGGCTACGCGGCCTCTGTGTTTCTTCAGTCCCTGCTGAACGATACTCAAGCTGATGTGGGGAAAACGGCAAAACAAAAGCCGCCCCCCCCCCACTGACTGAGACAACAATTACTTCTTGAGTTACTTCCCGTAATTGTAGAGGACAGTAATGCTCTTGAGAGGAGTTGTTCCATAGCTTACATGGCTAACGCTTGTGTCCCCAGGCCATAGGGAGACAAGTAAGAGCACTTATTACTGTCAGTCACTGTTTCCATTCCCTGTTGTTCCCCATCTGGCCACCTCGGGATGGTATAAGCTTACTCGCACACATATGTTCATACATACAGGCTCTCATTCCGAGTCGCATGTCTGGGTCATGCCTCGTTCAGCATGTGAAGAGTTACTTTTTGTTTTTTTGTGCCTTAACAACAAACCTATGGGCGTGTTTTTCTAAATGCTGTTGTCTCAGTTACATGGCGGCTTTTATCCGTTTTGAATAGCCTCTCAACTTTGTTTCCATTTTATGTGTTGTTTTTTTCCATTTCCGGCCGTTCTTTTGAAAGGAGTTCAACTAGAGATCCAGTATCACGTCCTGTCTTTCCTTTCACACTGTGTGTGACAGCAGACCTGAGCTGCTGCTGCTGTCCTGAACATGTCGGCTCCGTCTTACAGGCGAAGATTTGGGGCTTAAGCGGCGACATTAAACAAGTCTCTAACAAAGACAGCACAAACACTTATTATGTTCCATTGGTGTATTTGGTTACCAAAACATCAGTTACCCAGGATATGCCAGTTTGTTTTCAGATGACAGCTTAGGGAGGGACACAATGTGGACAGATTGGACCTCAGGGTTGGAATTGTTTCCATCTCGTCAGAGTTTTCTCTGCAGTCGTACTCTTCACCACCATAACAGAAGGAATTCCATTGGACTGTCGTCTCTTCTGGGCATTAACATTCACTTATTTAATGCAAAGTGAGATGTCACTTATTTGTAATGTATCGTGAATGTGTGCAGGCCCGAATGGTCCACTCAGATTCACTTTTTCTGCAGGGAGTTAACTGTCAGAGTTCTTTCATTGTGTGACCTGTGCAATCTGTAATTAGACAGCCTGTGGATTTCTGATGTATAGGATTTATTAGCAGGTAAACCGCTGCAGAAAATAGGGCCATGGATCAAATGTTGTCCATCGAGAGGCATTAGATATCTTACTAACACGTTTCATCAGCATGACTAGTTTTTATTTGCAGACTTCAGAGACAGAGCTGACAGTGGTACTTTAATTTGTCTTGTGCTGGAAATAAAATATAGAGAATATTACACTGACAAAAGATTTAGAGAGGGAGTGGTGCCTGTCTGTAATTAAGCAGTTTTGTGTTTCTCTCTCTAATGCCGACTATAACTTCAGTTATAGGCCATGTCTTTGAGATGTGAACTCACGCAGACCAACGAGCGAGTTGCATGCTTGCCTAAACGCAAGGTGGAAAAAAAAGTTGATTGACTGTTGCCAAGTAAAACAAGCAATGTCTTGTGAGCTAGAAACAATTATCTATGTTGTTCTGCCAGGTCATTGCCTGTGGTCGGGGGAATCAAGACAAATAGCTGTGCTAATGCACTCTGTCCTGGGGAGATGGAGGGGTTTGATAGTAGTGTTCTCTGCAGGGCAACTGGGTGTTGCTAAATGCCTCATTAGAGGTGTCTCCGTGTGAGAATGCCCATGTCCAGAGCACTTCTTCCCCATCTGCTCCGTGTCTGCTGACAATTTATGCTGGGAATATTATTTTGCTTACTTAGCATGTATTGCACGGCATCTTAATAGATTCTGGATACTCGTTATTCAGCGGCTGCTGATGAATGGCACGTATTCACTGTATTTGTAGGAAGTTGAAACCCCCAAAGTCCATATATTTGAGGAGGTAACGACTTTAAAAATGTTATCTGTTTGGAGATCAGAAGCCGGCGGCCCCATATTGGCTGCTGCAGCTTTTAAATCTGTCGCCCTCACCATTGGGATTGTTTCTCTTCGCCCCTTTGCACCGTGTGCCGGCCACGCTGCCAAAGACAACAGGGACTCTTGCCGGCAGGAAGCGGAGGTGTTGCTCAACCCACATGTACGAGTTGTCTGTGTCTTGTCTTTCACACCTCTGTCTCTCACCATTTCTTCTCCCTCTCTCTCTCTCTCTCTCTCTCTCGTTTCATCTCTATCATTCACCCTTTTCAATGCCTTGCTTTATTGTGTGACAAGCTCCCGTCTATGGGTGGAACGTTTTTAATGCTCCTCTCCTAATACGATGAGCCTTTTCTTTTGTTTCCTTCTAAAAGGGGGCAGACGAGGCCTGTGCCGCTGATAGATGTAGGCACTCAAGCGGTAAAGAGAGATGCATTACTTGAACGCTACCCACATGGGGGAAATTGTGTCTCTGCTCCCCCTGAAGATGCTGCAGGGAGAATGAGCCCCACTGGCAGCACTATTGCAGTCACTGAAAACGTGTGCAAAGACTTCATTTCTCACTCTTTTTCTGCAGATTGCCCATCCATCACTCAGCGCTCCATATCTGTAGTTCTAACCCTGAAGGTGTGAAGGTGCCTCAATTTGTCATCTTAAGTAAACAGCAGTCTGTTTATCGGGGTCTAATCCTCTCCAGTTTAAAGCTATGGGGGGGCTTGGATGGTCGCCACTATGCCCTGATTTTTCATAATGAACTCAACTTTCAAACACCAGATGCCAAAACTGGACTGGGAAAATAAATTAAGTGAAATGCCTTTTATCTGTCTGCCAACACGCCAGGCAAATCTATGTATGTAGATGTGAACGAAGGAATGTATGTCCTCAGATTGTCAACTAACATATGTATTTTCCCTAAACGGGAGCTTCTCTTATCTATTTATCCCGTTCTTCCAACCGCAAGAAAAATGGTTCATATTTGGAGATATGTAAGTGTTGGCCACATTCATTTGGGCAGACATTGTTAATGTTGTTACTGGACAGGTGCACGTGTGTAATGTGAGATGAGGGGTATGAGGAAAGTATAAAGGAGATGTTGCAACAAGGTCTGAAGAGGGAGGAATTCTTCTGATGTGTTCATTAATTTCTTCAGTGACTGCTTGGTTAATTAGTACACGGCTGTGGAATGCGCAGGAATGCATGTAAAAACGCTCCTTGTGTTCATTTGTTATTGGGATATGGGTGATACATTAGAGGGGAACAATAAAGCAATTTCATTGAGTTGGCACAAACAGCACCAGTTTAAGAGTAAATCAGGAACATTTGTTTTAAAAAGTCAGACCTTTAAACAATTGGATACAAGTTGTTTGCAATAGATCCTAATTTCAGGCAGAACTTGTTAACCGCCCTGTTGTAAATCTGCAGTTGATTGGATCTCTTTTTTTATATGGAGTGTTCCCAAAGCAAACAACATTTTCTCTGCAGACGCATTTGTTGCTTGCCCTTTTAAAACGCCCTTTATATTGTGATGACCACATAGACATGTCACAGGACCGCTGTGTTAACACAAGTACGCGCATGACCATTGCCAATCAGCATCCATGGAAAGACTAATCAAAGCACACATGTATTTAAATGAACAACAGCTGGACGTTTTTTCGTTCAGATGACTTTGATTGGACCTCTGCCACATCTTCACATTTTAAACATTAAAATACACCAAGATGTCCACTGATTGGCCGCTGTCTCGTGTTCCATCACCACACGTCGCTCCATTTGTCTCCTAGTGAAAGAAAAAAGAGCGAGGGTTCCCATGGATGTTCCCTCATATGTCTCACTTACCATTGAGTGTGAACTAATGTGTGTGCTACACACTTCTTTAATGCACTGTGCAGTCCCAGCTAGGACATGGTTCATTTTTTCTTTTACACAACATAAAAGGAGGAGCTGACAGGGCCCTAAGCCAATGACAAATATAATTTAGCTTCAGAATTGAATGAGTTATCCAAGTCAAAAGGCGATGGCTAGTGGAAACTGAAAGAAGCATGGCCGAGTGAAAGATAATAGAACAGGACTGTTTTGTTAGCGCAACCTTTTGTTTTGGCCAAACAGATTTAAATTCCTCACAAAAGGGACGCAACAGCTGATGTGGGACGAGCAAAGAGAGGGCACATGCCTTCAGGGAACCATGGCAAAACGACTGAATGGTCACAACGGCAACCTGTGTACATATCCTGCGCAAAGTTAGGAGGGACATGCGCACACACACACACACACACCCACGCCCCCCCACACACACCCACGCACTTATGATTGCTCCTCCCTAGCTTGACTCTTTACTCCTGTCTCCCTCCAGAGTTGCAGAAAAGGACGTAGTGAAAGCGGACCAAGACCACTCCACCACCATGAAGACGGGGGACTGTGGTAATCAGAGTCTGGGTGAAGTATGGCCTCTGCACTGCGTGTCTGGCAGCAATTATGGCAGCAAAGGGAAGAGGATTAAGGTACTGTCCCATCTAGGCCTTCCATTAGTGGGATTGATGTTGTTGGCCACCCTCCCGTTTGGAGCAAGCATCAAACAAACTGTGCCCAGGGTCAAACTCAGCCAAAATGGTAAGAATTTTTTCTTTTTATTTTCTTTTTGTTAAAATGTTGTATGTAATTGTATATGTCCAGTATTAAAGTGTGATGAAAAAATAAGGTTTGGGTAGTTTTAGGCCATTTTGGATATTTTATCTCCTGCCAACAACCTTCGTCATCAGTAGACTTTAGAGTGACTTTAAGTTACTGACTCACAACTAAGATTCTCTTCATTTTCATGCAATCTTTATCACATTTTTCTTTTATTTAAGCCATTCCTGTCTTCAAAGCCCATGTCTAGCATTGTCCATCTAACATTTTGTCTCCTCTACAGTGTTTCCCTTGTGGTCTTATCCACACAGTCAAGGGAAATGAGTGAAATGAATGATTCTTAACAGCATAACTCAGTTTTTTTGCTAAAGTAAATCTCCTTTGAAACAACACTGTAAAGTAGGAGAGATGTAAGACTCCCTCACTGATCTGTCAGCCCACTGTATAATTCACTGGTCACATATTGTAAAACAACAGCACAATCTATTAACCCTCCCATTGATATATCTCTAGCTCAGAAGCGCGCAGTTACTTAAATAAAACGCTGTTGCAGTCCATATATTTCACGTTGACGCTCTCAGTCCGCGATGAAGCCGTCGTTCCTTTGTACATTAGCCGGTCCTGCGCGCTCTGTCGATGTGTTTAGTTTTGCGTCAACTGTTTGCTTTATGCCACCTGGGGCGAGCTGAATTATTGCTCCCCTTAAAACCCATTCGGAACTCCGGGGCAAACTTAACTTCAAAGTCTCCATCTGTCTCATTCTACATATCAGCTAAAAAAAAAACACATAAATGAACTTCAGTCTCGCTCCATAAAATTGAATCCCCACTGCGACCTAAAAGTAAACTCTCTTTGACTTCAAACCTCCAGAAGCTCTCTCTTGGTCAAAGACTTCTTAAACCCTCGACTGGAAAGAGATATGTCATGAGTCTCCAACATAAATATGTGGAAGAAATGATTGCTACGGACAGTGTTTACCCAGCATTTAGGGGAATATTTAGCTCTGTAGTTTGTCTCGTTTTAGGCTCAAATCAAATCAACCTTTTGATAAAATGAAGCAGTTCATCATTTCATATTTGATTGCATTTTAATGGGGCCATACATCTGTAACCATTTTTTCCACAATCCATCAAGGCGGCATCTCTTTGCTTAGACAAGCCAGTTAAGCATTGTTCATTCAAGAGGCCGTCCGACTGCGTCTTTCCTTCACAACAAACGCGATGTCGCCTACAACTCTGTGCGCGCTTCATACACACGTATTGTCATCATCTCATCTTCAAAAGCAGCAACTCCCGGCAGCGATCACTCTTCGAAAACACATTGCGCCGTCCGCCTGTGAAGTCACGGCTGTAATAAGGGAAGGGTGAAAAGATCGAAGTGAAATCATCTGCGTTTGAGTGAGCACCTCCAAAGACGCGGGCCTTCTCCTGCAAACTTATGCAGTCCCCCCTGAAAAACACCTCAAGTTCAAGTTTGGTCCAGAGTCACAACACAGACATTGTGGCCTTCTGCCAAATGGGAAGTGAGATCATCTGGCTTGGATTTGTTTTATGCTACACATTCAGATGGTTGTTACACCACATGCCCTCTTCCTGCAGTCTGCGTTACTAAAAAGCTACAGTTTATTAGTCATATGGTCATAAAGTAGAAAGACACTTTGCAGGACATGTTGCTTCTTGTAAACAGTTCTCAATGCCTAACCTCAAATTAGTGAACAGATGTGTTTAGTAACAGCGAATATAAACACAGTTCAGTGATAAATCTGTCAGTTCTGGAGCTCGCCTTTTTGGTTTCTTTATTTCTTAGTTGTTATTGACATTACTGGACATAAGTCTGTTATGAAATCCCAGAAAGAACATCCTTCACTGCAAATATATGACTGCAGGCCAAGGCCATGATCCTGCAACATGAAAGCAGCATCCTAATCTCAGTTAGCTTACATTAAACTAATCTAATGAATTTTGTTTTACTTCACGCTTAAATGATGTGACTTCCTCCCTGCAGATATGGCAGATTCATTTACAGCAACACTGCAGCACAATATCTTTTCCACTTCACGCTCATATTAAACTTCAACCTTTAGTCGAAAAGGCACCGGTGCCTCACTAGTCCCGGTGATTATTGAGCACTTCTACAATAGCAGACAGCGCGTAAAACTAGAGCGTAAAACTAGTTGACCAGCAGAGCGTCAAACAGGTTGATGTCTTACTCAAATAAAGGTGTTGGTGAGAATGCTGCAGAGTTTGGGGGGGACTTGAGTGCTGTGCTGAGCAGCAACAGCTCTGCATGCTGTGTCTGTCAGCTCATATTGCCATGTGTTTACAGAGCAGATTAGCATTAGCCAAGGGCTAGCAGGTTTAATCTCTATGTGAGGTTTAGCCTCCCCGGGCTGGAACATATGTGGGGGTGAGAGATATGAGCATGTGGGGGTGCTGTGTGTATGTGTGTGTGTGTGTGTGTGTGTGTGTGTGTGTGTGTGTGTGTGTGTGTGTGTGTGTGTGTGTATAAGAGGAGGTATTAAGCAGGGTTGCTTGGTGCGGAGGGGTCCTAGAAGTTCAAATATTGAGGGTTGGTAACCTCTCCAATCCTTCACACCAAGAGGGTAATCACAATGTCAATCCTTTCAGAGTGACTCCCACCGGACTCCCCCCACATTGAGCCAGTGTTTATTCAAAGCATGTTGCTATACTGGCACACTGAATTTAGCCTGGTGATGGAGGAGATTTCCTCACATCAAGGAGATCAAGGACGCAGTGCTGAGCTGAGAAAGTAGTCAGTGCTGAGCTCCCAGAAGCCTCGAGTCCAGCCGATACTGACACAATGCACAGCCTGTCTATGGTACACATTGATTCTTTGTATACCGTTTATTAAAACCACTACCACTGATAATCAGATACAAGTAAAACAGGACACTTTACCATCACCTAATCGGTGAGCAAAAGGTATTCTTATCACACGCTTATTCATACCAGGCGTATGTTGCAACCACAGCTCAATTTAAGGAAAAATGTTTGGTCACCTGCAAATGAAGTTTGGGTTTCTGAAAAGTATTTTTTTTTGCCACACGTCTATTCAACGCTAGTTTGTTCATTTTTCATTGTTAGCTCTATGCATCCACCCTAGTATCTATGTCTGTCTGTTGCTCTCTCTGGGACAGAACTGCTGCGAGCCGGCAGTGTTTCTCTGCTGATGGAGCCCTCCGATGGCCTGCACTCCCACTCGCTGCTGCTGGACGAGGAGAGAGGTCGTCTTCTGTTGGGAGCCAAGGATCACATCTACCTGTTTGACCTCGACAATCCGGCCGGAGCCCCCAGAGAGGTAGACTATGCTGTGAAGGGCACTGAGAAATGTTAAAAAATGCTATTCACAGTGGAAGGCTGTAGAGACATTGAACTTCCGACAAGAAAACGAGGCAGGGAATACATTTAGCGCAATAAATAGACAGCAACCTTTGAGTTTCTATCTGTTCAGTCCATTTACTACACAATAAAGGTTTATTTTGGTAAACGTTTAAGCGTTTCCAGTAGATTTAAGAATCCTCACATCCTCCCACCGGATGATCGTGCTGTAAGAAATTCATGTCTGCACAGGAGATGAAGTTCCTCCTCCCCAAACAATAAATGACGCACCCTGCCGACATCCAGAGTCTTACTTGGAGTCACTTGAGACTTCCTGACAACCTCTTCCATTTGCTGTGAGCGGCTTACTGTTCTGGAGACACACCATGCTTCAAGGTCATGACACTTTTACCTGTCTCGCCGTTACTTGAGTTGATGTGAGGTATTTCTTTTTCCATTAGCGTGTTGCTAAGCTGAAATGAACTCAGCCCTGTGTTGCTTTAGAGAGTAGCTGACCTCTCAGTAAACAGCAGGCTGGAGATGTCTGTCTGGCGAGGTCGGGGTCATCGCGGTGGAGGGCACACACACACGTACACAAAGTGTACAGACAGACGCACAGCGCTCACACTTACACAAACACATACATGCCTTTGGACGGATGCCATAAGCTAAAGTTTGTATATGTGAGTGTGTGTTTATGCAGCTGAGATTCATCCGCGAGTGGGACGACAGTGTGTATATTTGATTTTTATCTGGTTATTTTACTCTCAAAGTGTTGCCTTTTTGTTGCTTTTCTGGTTATCGATACTGATGCCAGGCAGATATCCACCAAAGGTCTAATTCTATCTGACCGCTGGGATCAGAGTTTGAATGTGACAGTGATCTAAAAAAGCAATCTTTGTGTTTCACTTAATGAAGAAGCATACCTCAAAAAAGGAGCCCCAGGCACTAAAACACAACCCATTTTCTGCAAACAAACATTCTAATTGCTTCTTCCTTGATATTCGGGAGATAGCTGCTATGATATCAACGTCTGACCACAGTCTTTAAATATCCCCATATGCTGAGGTAAATTGATCACTTGATACTCTGGCTTTCAAAAAAAACCCAGTTGAAGCCCTTCACAAGCCTCACGGCGTACTCATTCAACACATCCCGTTTTAACACTGTTTTTTTGAAGGTTCCTCGGTGGCCTGCAAACATTTGGGATCGTGAGATGTTTTAATATTTGTGCTGGTGTATTTGCATGCGTATTCGGGCTCTGTGGACCAATGAAGAAGTTTGGAGATCGCTCTCCTTGGTGGGATCTAGGGGAGGTAACAGGTTAAGCACATAAGCCTGTTATGACACATGTGTGAACATGGTGCGTTACACTGAAAGGCTCTCTGGATGTTGTGCGTCCATTGCCCTGTTCTACCAGAACCTCGAGGTGTTGATTATTGTACAATTGAGATCTGTTGTTCAACCGTCCCCTAAATGTTGTTGAGAGGCAAAGTGTTGACACGCTCATTTGATTCAACCTGCAGTTTTTAATACAATACTGGAAAATGTATAGAAAGAAAGGGCAAATAACTGAATTAAAAAAGTGAAGAAGAAATCTTAAATAATTACAGGAAATAGTATTTAGAGAACTGGCTTGCCTGAACTTCTCTGGCACTTTGTGTCAGAGTTGAGGAGCACTGTTGGTTGAGGAGCACTCTGGTCTCCTGTTTTTAGCCTGTAAAAGCCACTAGAAGGACATTCTGATAGATCTTGGGAAGCAGTAGAAGGCTCATATCAGTAGTGCCTTTTACAATTGTATATTCCACCCTAAACTGCACATGTATTCACTGTAGAGATGCCAGGGAGTATTGTGACCGGCATACTGCATACAGATATGTGAAATTGTTCTCCTGTTGGTTATCTGTCATTAGATCCATTGGCCGGCTCCCAGAGACAGAGTTGATATGTGCAAACTGGCGGGAAAAAATGCAAATGTAAGTTTTTCCAAAAATCTCTGAAGTCTATCAGTACCTTGTTTTTGTGTTATAATATACACAGAATGGTCAAACTTCTCTCAAAATGTGAATCCATGCTATTTCTCTGCCCCTTCTTGTTCTAGTTGGAGTGCGCCAACTTCATAAGGGTCCTCCACAACTACAATCGCACACATTTGTATGCCTGTGGGACGGGATCCTTCCACCCCAACTGTGCTTTCATCGAAGTCACAGGCCACCGAGGGGTAAAGTGGATATCAGTGAATCTCAGCAATACAGCTGACGCAAGTTCAGGAGTTGCATTGGATTTTGTGAAAGTTTATTGTCAGAACCTTTTACCGTCTCTCAGGATGGCGTCTTCCAACTGCTGTCCAGTACAGTCGAGTCTGGCAGATTGAAATGTCCCTTTGATCCCTTGCAGCCATTCACCTCCATCCTCACAGGTAATATGAGCAATCACAACGCACTCTGGCAGTCCTCTTATCCTTCGTGTACCAGAGTCGCATTGCTTCGCAGCACTTTTTAACCAGGAATACATTGTCTTTCCCCTCCAGTCTCTACTCAGATGTTTGAGTAAATTTCTTTAAAAATTCCATTATATTTCCTGAAATGTTCCTCGATTCGTATTTTGGTTCACTGAGGCAACCCGACAGGATGGTAAACAATATAATTTGTCAAATGATGGTGGTTAAGCTGTATGTTGAATGACTGCTATTTGGCTTTTAATTCTAAGCACGATAATGTTCTGTATTCGTGAACGTTCCAGATCAGTACCTTTACGCGGGCACATCATCCGACTTCCTGGGCAAGGACACGGCGTTCACGCGCTCCCTCGGGCCTCCACCTGACCAGCACTACATACGCACGGACATGTCTGAAGAATACTGGATCAACGGTACACACGTGCTTGAATAACAGCCACCTTAACAGGCTGAGTGCGCTCAAAACTTGTTATTGCTTTTTTCTCCATACTTCCAGCCTCTCTGGTGATACAAAGAGCCTCTCTGTGCCCTCAGGATGGTTATTGACATTCCACTGTGGAGGAAACAGACCACTTATTCATTTAGCTGGAACTTTTATATGAACGCCATAGCTGAACAGGAGCCACACCTACGGTGGAATTTACAGTGTGCCACAAGTTTCACGTTCTCAGTCACACGACCGCGTAGCCGCACACACACACACACACACACACACACACACACACACACACACACACACAAACACAGGCATGCAAAGCCATCACTGAGGAGGAAGTCCCCTCTCTGTGTAGACATCTGCAGTCCTGAGTGTTTCACAGCCACTGATGGGTAGTCGTGTATAAACTGTTGTCACCGTGATCTAAATCCTTACACTTGGCCTCGATATTTCACAACCACAGTCAGCGGTGTTTGGAGTCATTATGTCTGTCTCTCCGTCTCGCTCTCCAAGTGCCGTGCGGTGATGCAGGCATAGAGGGGGAGAGCACGTCTTACTGGCCTCTGCGTTCCTGTGAGCCTGCGAAACATCTTTCCAGTGCTGCGGGACTAACAATTACCTTCTGTCGAGTGTGTTAGCAGTCGTACATTTAAGTTGTTCCAGTTGGGGAATCACCCTCTGGTGGTTGGCTCTTCTCATAGAGGTTGAGCTAATGTTGATGAAATGTCACTGCAACACGAAGTGTAAGCTTTTGGACTGACTGTAACATGTTGTCGATCGTCTCCTTTTCCCCGCAGCTGTTTCCTACATCTCGTGCTCATCCTTGTTCTTCTCCACTTTGTCCTCATAGCTGCAAAAAAAAAAAAAAAAAGGTCAAACAAACAACATTTTTGTAACATGAAAACTGCAGTTCTCCTCAGCTTCCAGTAACAATGAGAAGCCAAACAGATTTCCCATTGTTGTTGGTGGAGACCAATATACAGAATGTATTGTTGTTATTTTGGGTTCATTTGGTTTCCAAAAACAAGCCAAGGCCAATGTTGCTCCGTGTCTGCTTGAGGTGTCAGTGGACAACGTAATCAACTTCATACAGGTGGCAATAGCTCCAATAGGTTTGTGTACTTACCCTGACATGGTTAACTATTCCAGCGTGGGTTTTGGAGTTAAACATGATCTCTATTCCACACTGTTGCTTAACATTTACTGCCAGACAAGCTGAAAATCATCAAAAACTAACCTGAATATCCTGGAATTTGCTGTATTTGTCCATTTACTAAATAATGAATCTGACTTTTCTGCACAGAGCAGGATAGTAAATAAACATGTGCTAAGTTTAGTGTTAATGCCATCACAAGGCAGCAACGCATGGCAAATCCATTACCGGACTTATTTTAATACTCTCCCTTCGCTCTCTCCTCCTCTGCGTGTCTTCAGAGGCCAGGTTTATATCTGCTCAGCCCATTGCAGACACCTACAATCCAGACGATGACAAGATATACTTCTTCTTCCGCGAGGTGTCGTGGGAAGGAAACGACAAGAGCATCCTGTCCCGAGTGGCTCGCGTGTGCAAGGTGAGCTGTCATACAAGAGAGGTGTAGAAAGCGTGAGGTTGTACGGAGGGCAGACAGGTACGGGGAGAAGGAGAAGTGGATGGAAGAGGGGAAAATGCCAACTTGAGAGATGGAGCTTAGGCAGAATAGGTGAGACACTGTGGCACCATAGAGAGAGACAGTAGTAGTGCAAGACCTCCTACAGAGTGTGAGGGAGTCATAACTCCTCCAGCCCCTTCTGATGGGGTTTTGTGCGTCAGCCGCTACAGAAGTGATTTACATCCGTTCTGATGCTTTCTTCTTCTGTGGTTATCCCAAAAGGACTTTACATTGAGAGCTTACGCCCTTTAATGCAAAAAGAGCTACAACCATAATTCAAACGCTAGTACAATTCTAAACTTCAAATTCATACCCAACAGGACTATTATCTATGTTCAATTTTTAGATAATACAATACATCTGAGAATCGTGTAATGCTTCAGTGCCCGCTAACTTCTATTTGACAAAATCTCAAAACAACTATAAAACTTTGATTGATATGCTGATTGAGGAGCAAAAAGATTCATGATTAGGGACCAATTCTTGCCGTACAGTGCACCATTAGTCATTCCAAATGGGACTGGCCCTCACAGCAGTTTGCTATTAACGTTTGGAGGCCTATTGCTACATTCTTAGGAAAAGGCTTTCAGCCCATTTATGACTTGGGAGTCAGCTGTAAAGCAGATTCCTCCGGATTACCGCTTTCTGTCCTTATCTGTAAGTGTGCATTTCCCTAGCAAAGGCACTTCACTTGATTTCTCTTTGAAGATTATCATCATTGAGGGCTTACGAGTGTGTGTGTGTGTGTGTGTGTGTGTGTGTGTGTGTGTCGAACATTTTCTCAATTATCAATTGGTTAGTGCTCTGCCCAACTTTAATTGGGAGGATCTCTTAAGTGCACCTCTTTGAATTGCATAGAACTTAAGTATTCTTACCACGGCTTAGGTTCAAAGGTTGCTGCTTAAAACAGCTATTCATATGCTAAAATACAACCTGCACCTTCAGTTTACAGCCTCACTTGATTTTCGTGCTCTCTTGAAACATGCTGCACCTCCATGTGTTTCTCTTCTCCTTTGATGTCTCTCCATTGTCTCACTTTTTTGTCTGTTTCGATTACTCCAGACTGTCATTATATTAACAAGAAGGTTTTCCAGGCTGAATAAGCAGATCCATACTGGAGTCATACGGTTCAACTATTCATTTTCAGGCTGTGATGCCGTGTGTCTTCTCTCTCTTTAAGTCCATTACACAGATTACAAAGAGTTTGTAGTTATTTAACAATTTTTAATTTCATTTATTAATTCTGGTTTGCCCTTTTCTCATGTTGGGCCGCTGCACTATGCTGTATGGTTTTGTTTCAGTGTATGCGGTTGTGTTTCAGAACGATGTGGGTGGGCTGAGGAGCCTGACCAATAAATGGACCACCTTCCTTAAAGCCAGACTTGTTTGTTCGATCCCTGGAACAGACGGCGTGGACACACACTTTGATGAGCTCCGTAAGTGTTTGTGATAATAAATGGTGACAATCTGGACCAATTAACTGAGTATCATCTTCCAAAGTCTTCCTTTTAAGTGCATTTCGAACAATGTCAGCAGTCGTTAAGACGCATCTCTTCTTATTTATTCATTAAGGTAATAAAATAATTAACCTGCATGTTGATTCCTCTCTTTCTTACAGAGGACATATTTCTGCTCCCTACCAGAGATGAAAAAAACCCCAAAGTGTATGCGGTCTTCACCACCTCCAGGTAGGTTTGGTTTTCATCCAACCCTCATCAAGGCCAACTTTCCTCTTCCTCCGCAGCCTTAAACTGCTCTCTCTGTTTCCTCTTTCCTCTCAGCTCCATTTTCCGTGGGTCAGCAGTGTGCGTGTACAGCATGGCGGACATCAGAGCCGTGTTTAATGGTCCGTACGCACACAAGGAAGGGCCCGACCACCGATGGGTAGAATACGAGGGAAGGATCCCGTATCCCCGTCCCGGAACGGTGCGTTGCCAGCTGAAAGGCGCCGTAACAAACTAAAAGCTCGTACTTAATCAATCTGAGCTAAATAGGATTTTCTTTGCACAAATGGGATTCCGATTCATTGAATCCTCAACTTTCCTGCTGATTATATAATAATAAACACAGCCTGATTAAAAAATGTCAGGTTTAAGGACTAAATGTTCACGACGCTGTAGGGTATGCATGCTGTCATCTGCACATGGTGTATGACATGACCTTGGCTTCAACGAGGCTACTAACATGTTAATCAATGACTCTTTTGTCTGCAAAACATAATCAGGGCAAGGAAAGAATGCGTGGAGAATTAACTGTGTGCTTCAGGTATGCAGCTGTTTGAGAAATTGTTTACTCAGAAAGGGGGGGTTGGAGTGACAGATGTTCCAGATGTGAGACGCCTCCCGCTGTTCTTCATTTCACCGCCAGGGGAAGACATGCGCCACTGTATTGTCAGACAGAAACAACTAGTCATTTGGGTGAAAAGAACTGTGGGAAAGATACTCACTAACAACCACTCTAGGAGTTAAAGCATCCTACGATTGTGACACTTTTAACAGAAGATCAACATTTCTTTACTTGGTCCTTCAGTGTCCCAGCAGGACGTATGACCCGAGGATCAAGACCACGAAAGACTTTCCAGATGAGGTGGTCAGTTTCATTCGATTCCATCCTCTCATGTATCACTCCGTCTACCCTCTGACTGGCCGACCGGTGTTCACACGCGTCCGAGTGGACTACACCCTTTCCCAGATTGTGGTGGACAGAGTCCTGGCGGAGGATGGACATTATGAAGTGATGTTTCTGGGAACAGGTGAGTTACGGACCCTCTCCGCTTACTTGGGATTCTGTATTTGACCAGCAGAGGGCACTACATGACTATGAATTGCCTTTGGCCTTTTGGCCGATTCTGCTGATGCTGTTATAGTCTTGTGGTTGTAAAACAAGTCACATTTGCATCCATTATCCTGTCTCAGGTTCTGCATTTTAACACAGGAGTGCTCAGGTCAGAGTGGTCTGGTGTTTGTGCTTTAGTGTGTGGGCCAGAAGTGCACGTTTGCATGGGATAAGAAAACAACACAGTTTTAATAGCTGGTTGTTTTTTTTGCAAAGATTCACTTCTGAATTCAAATGTGTGCAGTGTGCCTTGCTAGATTCATCCCAATAACTCCTCCTGCATCTCGTTTCACTCTCTGTCGTAGACGTTGGCTCCATTCTGAAGGTGGTGAGCATCACCCAGGACAATTGGTCAACAGAGGAAGTGGTTCTTGAGGAACTTCAAGTGTTCCAGGTACTGTTTGCAGCACAGCTACACTCACACAAATGTAGAAAAGCAGGAACACAAAAGTGTTATTATAGCTGAGCTTTTTGATTGATGATGCAAATTGTTTCCTAGTTAGTGGAACAGTTTACTCATTAGATGGTGAAATGCTATTTGAGACACTGGCGGATTTTTTAGAGCCATTAATCAATTAACTTATGTGTTGTTTTTACTCAGTAAGTGCTCCAGCAATTGGTTATGTATTATTCATTGAAGTGTAATGTTCGTTTGTTTGACTTTTTGCAGGTTCCCTCTCCCATCCTCAGTATGGAGATGTCCTCTAAAAAGGTTTGACGTCGTTCTCATCCATTTCATTCCCACGCTTCTTCTTTTGCCTTCATTCATGCCTCATGCATTCATTCACGCATACTGTTTTTATCCCTAATTCCTTCATCTATTCAATTTTGCTCTCTTTCTTTAGCCTTCCCCACTTCCTTGTACCTCTTTCTCCCCCTTCGGCCTCATTATCTTAGGGTCATGGGTGTCAGTAGACACTTCAACCCCAATCATTGCCTCAATTAATCTCCAGCAGTGTTTGACCTGTGCGTGTGTCGGTATGCGCACGCTGGCTTTGTGTTTTTGAGAGGCTGTTTAGAAGTTCTGCTCAGAAATCTCCTTAACTTCCAACGAGTCAGAACATATCCTTGGAGTCACATTTGAAAACAGAAATCTTGAAATCTCTGTGGTCTGCTCCATGTGCCCGTTTGAGGTTGTAATGAGTTATTCATGTTATAAAGCCTTGACCCACAATTATTCATGAGGTCAATTCACAGTAGGGGAACTTGGAGGTAAATGTTGATGTATGGAGACCACATGTGAGTGAAATCCTTTTTCTTTCCGGGATAATCTATCAATGTACAGATTTATGGGCCGCTTGTGTTGCTACACTTTATTCAGGTATTTCTCTTCCTCTAATCAAAGGAATCTCCTTTGTGGATGAGACATTTAAACTAATATTCGTCTGTACGTTTGCCTTTTCCTGAAGCCCAGTGTGGTGTGTGTGTCTCCTTATAGCAACAGCTCTACGTGGGCTCAAGTGAAGGACTAGCCCACGTTTCAGTCAGTAGATGTCAACTGTACGGCCACGCCTGTGCCGAATGCTGCCTGGCACGAGACCCCTACTGCGCCTGGGACGGACACACTTGCTCACAATACGTCCCTGCGTCCAAGAGGTATGCTGGCCCCGTGAAGAAAATACTTTGTAGCATCATCCAAAACGTAGCATTCATCTCTTTTTGATAATTTTTGTGTGTGTCTATGGAACAAATGTAGGGCTGTTAAAGGTCAAATCTGTAACTCTGCACATTCAAAAGGGCAGAAAAAGAAAATTCCAATTTTTATCTCCATTTGCTGTATGTAATTATTTTGTTGTGCACTGCTTCAAATCATCAGTTATTCTCCAGAAACATGCACCGTCAACATTGTTAAGAAAATTGCACCATATAACAACATATAACCATTTCTCAACAGACACACAATAGTGCATACTTCTGTAAGCATAAAACTGACAATGCAAAATATTAAACTGGAACATTTTCATTTATTGTTAAATTTATTCCCTCTTTGCTGCAGCATTGCGTGATTTACAGCAATAAACTTGAAAATATTTTGCATCCAGTGGAAAAATAAATATATCCTTTGCGTTTGTGAGTGAAGTGTGTTTGTGATCCCTTTGCTGGCTCTTTACTCTTAAACTGCCAGGCGGAGTTCCTAGTTCTTGCTAAATATGTTTCCTATTTCGGTTCTCCTCACCTCTTCAGAATATTTTTGACCTTTGGGAATCCATCCGTTGAAGCATTATTAGAGAAATGCTGTTCCTCAGCTGATTAACGCTGCAGTCATTCCTCTCTAGTCGGTCCTGTCGGTGCAATGCCCGTGTGTGCGTATTGCTTGTGTGTCCGTGCATTTTCTTTGTGTGCTTGCTTGCACGGATCGGTTCGAGGTCACACTGCCAGATTTTTGTCCAGTGGGGAGGCTGTTATGGTTTGTGGAACAGTGGAGGGCCTGCGTTTGGTCACCAGAGCTCTTTGAAAGCTCCACAGTGTCACGTCAGTGTAGGCTACAGATGTTCAAGTACAAAGGAATGACTAAAAGAGGCTATATGACCCTCTGCCAAATCGGAGGCCAAAGAAATGGCATTTTTCACTTTAAAATAGTTTCTAGTTTTAACTAGATTCAGTATTTTGCTTTTGTTTATGATAAACTATGTTTTTTGGCATAGTCTGTTATTATTAATGTGTCATTTTAAATAACAATGTAGATTTTAAATGCACATTAGCTATTATTTTCATCTTGATCAGTGTTGCATTTAGGTTATTGTGGCACATTTAAACCATTCCCAAAACTAACCTATTGAAATTCCCACTCTTTTTTTTAAAACAAATTACAAATATTGGTGACATTTCTTTCCAAATTTGACTTCAACTTGTATCCCAATTGTGTGTTGTTTCTCCAGGCGAGCCAGAAGACAGGACATCAAGCATGGAGACCCTGCCAGTCAATGCTGGGACACAGAGGACAGTACGTACACCTTGTTCTCTTAAGAAGAAGTCTCACCTTCTTCAGATGTACACACATACACAGTAAACAGATACACGATTCTACCAAAGGTCGCTTGAGGAAACCTGTGTGATTCATTTTTTTTCTTGGATTCATAACGTATGTGCTTTCTTTAGGTCTCGTCGGGGGACGGTTGGAAGAGAGGGTCCTCTATGGGGTGCAGAGCAACTCAACTTTCCTCGAGTGTATCCCCAAGTCTCAACAGGCTCAGATTCGGTGGTACATTCAGAGACTTGGATCTGAACGCAAGGAGGAGGTCAGAAAATGCACTTGTCGACACATCGTCCAAACACGAATTACGTCGCTAAAGCCTGTCAACAGCTTATAAAGTATACAAAGTTGTATACTGAGAAGTCAAATCCTTTGTGGAATTATAGGTAATAAGGAAGCCATTCGGGATAATGAGTGTGAGAAATGACTTAATCTAATCTAGAGACCCACCTGAGTGAATGTGACATTATCTATTTTTATGAAAAATGAGGAATTCACAGATTTAGTTGCATTTTCTCACGAGGTCTTCATTCCGCAATGCAACTGCTTTTACCTGTTCGAAATGTACTTTAGAATATGCAGTATACTTTCACTTTTGTTCAGGACAGAAAATGAAGCGGTGGATCAGAAAACCAATTCTATAAATTGAATTTCAAAATTTACTGACTTCATACTAAGCATTACTGAAAAACAAATAAATCTCTTAAGATCACGTTAGTTGAATAGTGAATACTTGTAAAAAGTGGTGCATATTTAGTGTTGTTTCTCCAAACCCTAAAAAACAACTTTGATTACGTTGCACAAAAGTCACTTCAGATCTTGGGAGACAAAGTTGTACAGAGAAGGACACACGGCGACAGAAAGTCTAATGTGTTTGTATTCGAGGTGTGGAAAGGAACTCATTGGCGATGACACTCGTCTCCTGAATGAGACAACGGAGACGTGCTTACTCAGCACCTCCCTGCCCTCCTCCTCCTTATCCAAACACACAAAGCCTCCTCCACCCGCTGCGAATGGCCCACTCAACCCATTCACTCCTCCTCGCTCTCCCCACTTCCTGATCCACTGGTTTACTCCCACGACCGGCCTGCTGTCCTCCTCTGAGGGGAGAATGTAAACACACTGACAGGTGCGGAGGCCACTAAACAGCCATGCGTTGCTCTCCTGTGCAGCAGAAAGCTGTATGTCCCTTGGTGTGCGTGCGTGTTTGTGTGATCGTGTGTCTGTTTCTTTGTGATTCCCTCCAGCAGAAATGATAACATGGTGCTCCCTGGGGACGGCCATGTGTTTGGGGGGTAATCGACACAACGGGGTACATTATTTGTTTGTGTGTGTAGGCACGCAATGATATCTCACCTATGGTGCTCTAGACAAAGCGATGAAGGAGTGAATGCCGACAAATCTTTTGGGGTGTCATCATTTTCATGAGGAAGGATCACACACTGGGCTTTACAGCAAAAGAATTGTCATAATGCCCAATGCTCTTTATTTTTATAATATCAAACTACAAAGTGCTGCTTTACTGCCTGAAGAATATTCGGATGATGAGCAAATCCTTAAGGAATCAGATGGCTCATTACGATTAAAAGAAAAGAAAATGACTATTTAAACAGCTTCATAATAAAGCTTTTACATGATAATATAATAATAATACATAATATTACATTAGCATTTAACTAAGAAGAATAAGAAATAAGATAACTACTACTAAAAACAAACTAGTTATTTTTTAACCCACATTATGAGTTTGATGCTTGAATAATTATTTCCATTTCCCTCTAAGGCAACAACTTTTAGCAAAAAAAAGTTTGACTGTCTAATATGAGCTCCCATTTACAATTAAGCCCTTGAGTGATTTGTTTTTTTGGCTGAAGCCCAGCAATGTCGCTGACCGTCAAAACAATGAAAAGTAGTTACAGAGTTTCACGCCAAGCTGAAGGTCAAAGAAACAGAGTCCGTGTACTTATAGTTAGTTGAGTAGAGACGTGTATGAGTCGTAGTTCGATCTGTGCAGCACAGTATTCTTCCAAATGACTTTTCACAGGCGTTTTAATTCGAAGATACTCAAATAACATTTTTGACCTGAATGCCTCGGGAGTGTCTTCCCTTTTCGGTTTCCTTCCACACTTTCGGGCCTCTTTATAGGTCAGACCAGCAGCTCAGCACCTGCAGCCCGTCTCCCTCACACTCTTATCACACACACACACACTGCCTCCTCTTATCCCCACACAAGAAGAAATCTATTAAAGATTGGAAGAGAGTCCAACTTTCTCACTGCCTGTTTGTGTATTTCACAGCCTGGAATGTTGGCCAATTATAAAATCTACAATAAAAAAAAAAACATGGACAATGTTGAATTTCATATTATTCATTAAAACCAAGCAAAGACGTCCTGAAATGATGGGACGTTCTCAGACAAAGCAAACTTAAGGCTTGCACTTACCAAAAGCAGTGCTTCACTTAATAATTAAAAGTGTCTCTGCAATACTCCACATGCGTGCACGCTTGTTTAAAAATACGTATGTAATTGCTCCCTAAAAGCAGGATTTGTTGGCACCGATAAAGACGATCTGCGTGAATTTAAATATCTGGCATTATTCACAGATGCCTTGATTTTGGACCGGTAGTGGTAGTGGGTCCCTGCAACGTAACTGCAGGTTACATTGTTCTGTGTTTTGTCAGATGTGTCAGGAAATAAGAGTGATGGGAGAAATTTGTTTGCATTAATACGGCTGAGGGTCAAGATCCAAAGAGGCTCTTTGCTCTGCGGGTTCTGCCTCTCGCTGGGCGACACATCATCAGTGTCACACCGGAAAAAAGCCCCACAGAGCCGAGGTTCACAGGAAGACAAACAGGCAAATATTCATTGTTTTCCACGCGCTATTACACCCCTGGGGGGTCGGAGCGGTGCTGTGGGATGTATGCTGTTGAAGCATCCGCAAAAGACACATACACATAGTGTGTCATGCACACACATGGGCTGTCCTGGGAACACAGCTGTGTTGTTTTTAGGCCCCGACAGCAGCTATGCCAATCGCTGAATCATGGCGGACGCTAAATGACAAGAGCGGACTATAAACATCGCCACGCCACTTACCCTTACACCTTGATGACAAACACAATAAACCTCACGCACACACATGCACACGCCCATTTATTTTTCTGAATACTTTCTGTAGCCTTTGCGTACTTCTTTCACTCATCATGCGTTTAAAGATCTCACCACCACCCCATAAAGGCCCCTGGCTCCCCACACACAACTCCATATGTTTCCTGTTTCAGGGGTCATTACCATGTCCAACGCTGCCTGGATACAAATCAGGCGTGAACGTGTGTGTGTGTGTGGTATCAGGCTGGCGTTTTGTAATACGCAGCCATTCCAATTCATCGTTGTGGTCTTTGTAAAGCTTTGAATCTCGATCTTTGGAAAGCAATAACCAAGGTCACGCGGTTGACCTTTTCCTCGGTGACGAAGCTCTCACACGTCTCTTCCTGTGCGCCAGGTCCGGCCGGATGATCGCGTGATACGCACAGATCGAGGTCTCCTGATCCGCTCCCTCCAACCCTCTGACGCCGGCGTGTATGCCTGTGTTGCCGAAGAGCACACGCACTTCACCCACACTCTGCTCCGTCTCACGCTGCAACTCGTTACACAAGGACAGCTGGATGGAAAGCCCAAGCCCAGCGAAGACCCGGCAACGGAGCCGCGGCCCGGCGCCGAGTCCCGCCAGCGGTATAAAGACTACCTGAGGGTGATGAGCAGCCCCTTCGTGTCTCTGGAGGAGTACTGCGATTCCCTGTGGCTGGAGAAGAAGCCGTCCCGGGTGCGGGGACGAGGCTTGGGGGCCGGCAAGTGGAAGCACATGCAGGAAATGAAGAAGAGCCGGAACAGGAGACAACCTGAGGAGCGAGGGAGAGGGGTGAGGACAGCAAAGCAGTGAGGGGTGTGTCTGCATTCACCGGTTGGACGAAGAAGCAGAACGTGACACAGAACTGCAAAATTCTCAGCTCAGAGTTTACAAAAGACTCACTCTGAAATATACAGTTCAAGAGTTAAACTACTAGCAATTTTAAGTAGTGTTGGGTTATGAATATGTCATTCAATGAATCTGCCAGCATCTGTCCTGATCGCCGATAACATGGCTTTAAATGAAAACTAGAGACCGAATAACAATAGATATCGCAATACTTGAAATTAATTTGACATCAGCCGTCCGTCGGCTTGATCGGTCGTGGAGGAGGTGAGCAGATTTACGGTCTTCCTACAGCAAAAGGGTTCGCCCCAATAGTATACAATGGCGGTTAATAGGGGCGATCATTTGATATATTGAAACCCATATTTGAGTTGGGAAAAATATAGAAGACAAGTTTGCTTGTGGTGATGTCAATGTCATGTTGAATGACTGTAAATATATGTATACCATGTACAGGAGATATAGAATGCTCAATTTGGTCTTTATACTAATCTGTTTATCTGTAATTATACTCACATACGTTTGGAATGACATTTTTTGCAAATGTCATTCCCACAATGTAGGTTTAATTGCTATTTTTCGTAATTGCTGATTTTTGAAGTTATTTAAATAAATTTGTCCCGGGCCTCTCTTCTCTGAATGTTTTTTGTCTGTCATTGTGTGAAGAGATAAAATCAATACAGACAATATAATTTACGGTGAAAGTGCAGTTATATGCAGTCTCAAGCAGACAACAGACATGGCAGAGAATAGGTGAGGGTTAGTTCAGCTGAGATTCTCCTGTTATAGCAACACAAGTCCCTGTACACTGTATGCCGATGCCAGAATGATTCAGGACCAGCTGTTCTCTTTGTGACGAAGAGACAGAATGTTCAGGAGAAACTGAGCTAAACGTAAAAGTTGTTATCAAACTAAGCATTTTACAGGTTTCCTAGAATTAATTAATCAATATAAAGTTTGTCATCTAGCATTATGCGACCCTGTGATATGCTCTCTCGTTATTGTAAATCGTATTTTATATGTTTTTTTATCTGTTCAGGGTTTGGAGCAAAGGTCTCTAAGCTGTGATCTGTATTAGTTAACAATAATAATTAATGCACAGTATTTCTTTGCCCGAATGACTTCTTTAATTTAACGGGTCAAATGTTACATATGATATATTGTTATGAGAATATTCTTATATGTAAGAATATGTTTACCTTTCTAAAAATGTTAGCTAGTAACGGTTACTCAGTGAACATATTAATTGGCCGACTTTTTCACAATGCTTTTTTACATAAGACATTTTACTTTTATCTAAAATGTATTTTAAAAAATGCTATTTTTACTTGAGCAAAGTATTCTTGTACTCTTTTCAACCTTCCCCATATTAATAATAAATCATGGAAAACTGATTTCATTTCTTTTACTGACCTCACAGGCCTCCTGTGGATATGTGATCGTCTTAGCTTTATTATTTCACATTACTATTATCATTACACTTACCGTACTTGCCTTCTATACACAAATGCACAAAAGAACACCACCGAAGTCTCACATTTTGTGGTGTTCCACAGGGATTTCTTCCCACTTCCCGGAACAAAGGATAATGAATATTTTAAGCATTTCCTCCTTGACTATAGTTTATTCATCAGTCAGCTTCTAAGAAGTAACTACATCCCTCCCAAAAAGGAAAACAGCAAAGAGTCACAAAGAAAGGACTGCTTACAGACTTGAAAGCTCAAGAAATATGAAACCACTTAAAGAAGAAAATACTCAATAGTCGTCTTCACGAAAAAAAAGCAGTGCTGTTTGAACTCTTCTTGTGTAACTTAGCAAACGTTAACCCTGTGCGCGACGCAATGGCCGTGTCCCAATCCACACTATATGTGTGTTGTGCTGAAATATAGAAATTTAACAATTCTAGCCCTCTTTGGGCTTCCACAAACGAGATTATAAGGAGGGAAGTGCTCAATTTGATGTGATGGACGTAATGAGCTGTCTGCTTCGGACCCCTGTGGTGGCCTTACAAGATTCACATACAAAGGCACATGCACATACCATACTCCTTTTTCACTGTCTCCTTTTTTCAATGGTTTCTGGTGTCCAGTGACCCACGTGGACACATCGAGGTTAGATACAGTGCATTGGACTGGCAGCTTCCCAGCAGGAGGAGGCTCAGGTTGGACTGGCATCAGAGGCTGACTAATTGACTGATATCATCTAGGCCCTGATGGCGTTGATGCTCGGTCCATCCATCCATCCATCTTCAACCGCTTATCCGGGGTCGGGTCGCGGGGGCAACAGCTCCAGCAGGGGACCCCAAACTTCCCTTTCCCGGGCCACATCTACCAGCTCTGACTGGGGGATCCCAAGGCGTTCCCAGGCCAGTGCAGAGATATAATCTCTCCACCTAGTCCTGGGTCTTCCCCGGGGCCTCTTCCCAGCTGGCCGTGCCTGAAACACCTCCCTAGGGAGGCGCCCAGGGGGCATCCTCACCAGATGCCCAAACCACCTCAACTGGCTCCTTTCGACGCAAAGGAGCAGCGGCTCTACTCCGAGCTCCTCGCGAATGGCTGAGCTTCTCACCCTATCCCTAAGGGAGACGCCAGCCACTCTCCTGAGGAAACCCATTTCGGCCGCTTGTACCCGTGACCTAGTTCTTTCGGTCATGACCCATCCTTCATGACCATAGGTGAGGGTAGGAACGAAGATTGACCGGTAGATCGAGAGCTTTGCCTTCCGGCTCAGCTCTCTTTTCGTCACAACGGTGCGGTAAAGCGAGTGCAATACCGCCCCCGCTGCTCCGATTCTCCGGCCAAACTCACACTCCATCTTCCCCTCACTCGTGAACAAGACCCCAAGGTACTTGAACTCCTTCACTTGGGGTAAGGACACATTCCCTACCTGGAGTAGGCAATCCATCGGTTTCCTGCTGAGAACCATGGCCTCAGATTTAGAGGTGCTAATCCTCATCCCGACCGCTTCACACTCGACTGCGAAACGCTCCAGTGAGAGTTGGAGGTCACAGACGGAAGATGCCATCAGGACCACATCATCTGCAAAAAGCAGCGATGAGATCCGCAGCCCCCCGAGTGATGCTCGGTGCAGTTCTTTAATTAAAACGAAACATACTTGTTATTCTGTGTAAGTGTAGGCGGGGTCGAGTAACATCAAACTACAATATATGTCTGAAGGCAAATCATTGTCAAAATCCAAGAGCGCAAACGAAGGGGTTGAAAAGTCAAAATTCCTTCATACTTCAAAGTTGGCAAGATATTCACAGATTCGGTTTTCCCGGTTCAATAGCTCGTCAGCGAAACGTTATTTTACTAATACGGACCGGTCTGCGAGCTGGACGCATTGCTCCTAATGTGCGGCCGAAGTGAGACTCCGTATTGGTAAAATGATGGTAAATTCGGGTTGTAGTTGGTTGTCAACTACGGTCCACTACGCTTACAGAGTGTCGTTTGTTTTTTAACAACGTTTTAGCTCATGGTTTTGACTTCCTTCCCTTTTGTTAGTGTGGAAATGGGCTTCTATAGTTCTGGGAATTCATAATTATCAACAGGGATGAAATACAGCCAAATCCAAATATCGGGTCTGCATCATTTCCATCATCCGTTTATGCAGGATCAAGAATGCACAACTACGGCGACTAGGCCAGAATTAGGATATCAAACACACTGACAGGACTAGAGAGAGAGAGAGAGAGAGAGAGAGAGAGAGAGAGAGAGAGAGAGAGAGAGAGAGAGAGAGAGAGAGAAGGAAAGCAGAATTGAGATGTCAAACCACGGATGTTTCTGGTTTTATATTGCAGAGGATTTACAGCTGGGCAGAAATGTGCATTTCCCAGGTGTTGACAGTGAACTTCTGTGCCGGGTGGAGACTTGGAGAAGTGTTGTATGGGAGCTGTCGGACTGGGCGGTATTTATTGAGGCCTGGAGGTACCGCAAGGCGAGAGGTATGTTTGTATGAGCTACAAACAGTTGTTTCCTAGAAGTAATGAGTACCTGTGTTCCCTCTGCCTGATTTACCGACACACACAATCTCTCCTCACTCCAGAATTTGTGGCAGGACATCCAAGGTGCACTAAATATCCTGAACACACCCTGTGGGAGATGTTTTCATCGGTTGCGTGAAGAGCTGCTTTGAAAATCACTGCAAATGAGACGTCTCAAGGGCTCCTTGCTCGGCCTTTCTCGCTTGTGAATGCATTTTATCGATGGCTTCGGGTTAGCTACTGAACTTTGCAAACCTTTTAAGTTGCTTAATTCGTTTATGCCCTCAATGGATCATCCAGCAGGAACCACATGTGTCTACATGTGTATGCATGCATTAGTGAATGAAGGCAAAACAACGTAGTGGGAACTGTCAAATAGTACTGCCAAAAGTCACGTACTAGTTCAATCATGAAGTACCAGCAGCAAACAAAAATCACACATATCACGTTAAAAAACACCACAGGACAAACATTGGGACTATTGTGAAAGATCTTTAGTCCTTTGATACATTTTGGATCTCAGATTATATTTCAGTTAATAATTGGCTAGTAGATGTAATGTCTGCATCAGCCATATATATCAGTGTTGATATAGTTATGTGTATATATATATGTGTGTGTGTGTATGCAACAATAGAACAGACCAAATACTGCTAGTATCTGTTTCCGTATGTGTGTGTGTGTGTGTGTGTGTGTGGCTCACACTGCTGCTGGCACCCACAGATCCCAGGGGCAAACACGGTGTGCGTATCCATGGAATGGATATGCCTTTCAGTACAGTTTGATCCCACACCTCATTGACCTGTGGCCTTTCAATTGTTTTTTCCAATTGGTCACATATCTCTACACTTTCACTGCATTGCTCTGCAGACACATGGACGGCTCTAATGTCATTTGGAAAATATTTCCCTAATTCATGTGGCAGATGCCAGCTGGAAGGAAAGTGCAGGGTGACTAATACCATATTGATCTATTTTGGGATATTTATGATCGGAACGAGTACCATCACATCATCACTACTGTATCTCCGTTTACATTTTAATTTAATTAGCAGTTAGACAGTATTGTACACTTGTTGGGTCATAGGAAGCAGTCCCCTGCTGAAGAGCGATTGAACCATGTCCGGTTTCCATCGGTTCAAACAAATTCATTGGGATTCAATGTAAATATGTTAGTCCCCTGTTCAGTTTGCAATAACAGTTTGCAGTAGGACATGAAGCTAGAAGGACAGAAAAGGCTACACATTAGAGTACCTGGCGAGGGGTCGGGCGCTATCAGAGGTCAGGGTGAGGAGAGGAAAGCAGAGAAAAAGTGCCTACTTGTGTTGGATTAGTATCTTCCTACAGCCGGATGGCATGCGACGGCCCTGCCTTCCATCATACCAGTAAGGACGTGGCACCTGAAACCAAACACCCTGCGACGCTGGCTTAAGACTCAAATTACTCTGCTTGACTCCAAGCTGAGAAAAAAATTCCACTCCTTTTGAGGGACAATTTGTTGTGCCTAATAAGCAATAACAGAAGGTTTACCAGTTTCATTCTTCTCACCGCGATCAGATATTTAATCTTGAGGGTACTAATTCACTTTCCCCATTGTGGTACGTTATGTGTACGAGCACTACAAGCAGGCTGCAGTGAGGAGTTTTAAACACGTCAACGGATGAGGTGGCTCGTGAGTCTTTTAAGACTGTACTTGTGTGTGTGACCGTGTGGAAGTATTTTCCAAAGGTGTGAATGGTGATGAGTTGCCAGCGTCGGGAGATGGAAAGCTTAATGTTTGTCACTGTAACATCTGCGCTGTGGATTTCCTCGTGACTCTGTTAGACAGTCAAGACTGCAGCCACATCTGTTCTTATATCTCCATTGATTTAATGCTGAATAAAAGTCATTTAAAATTCCACTGGGGCAAAAATGGTGACAGGGATAGAAAAAAAGAAATCTAACTGAAGTAACAATTAAGTTGTTCTGCTCCTGTTTTTTCCAAACTATTGCTGTTTTGCAATAATGAACACAATTTGCCTGTTTGACAGGGGGATCCAGTCCAAACCGAACTGTTTCAACTTGGGAGTTAAGTTCCCAAGTGCGTCGCCTGTGAGCGATTGGCAACCACAGGGGCAGAACTCAAAAGCAGACTCAGTCAGGCTGAAAAATAGATAGTTTACTGAAGAGGGTTTCGGTACACGTGTAGTCAGTCACACAGGCAACGGTATCCAAATCAACCGGCAAAACTCACAGGTACACGGAAACTAACACAGACGGACACACGGGGGGGAACCCACCAGGAATTGCTGTTAAACTCGCTGGAAACAGAACTGGGATTGACACAGACTAAATACACAGGGTGGGCAACGAGTCACAGGGGGAAACAATCAGGGAGGAGCTTACAATCACACAGGAAGGGGGGGGAGCCTGA